CACACCAATCAAATTTTTAATTTTTGGAGATAGTTTCTAAATTTGTACTAGTTACACAACGAAATTTCAACACTGGTTACAAACATAGTATTTTGATTATTTAAATTGTCTAATAAATTCTTAATGGTAAAAATATTATTTTCATTGATATTTTTGTTTTCAAAGCAATGCATTTTTTCCCTTAGTAGGTTCGCATACTTGCAAATAATGAGGAAAAAGTTCCAGAATTAATTGATCTTGTATAAACAGTTTTATTAAAGTTTCTGTAAGAGCCTGAATTTTCACAACCAGTAACTAAGCAAGGACCTTGATTAGGATTGTGAGGCATCTTTAAAAAAATAAATTGTATAGTTTATTGTATAATTATAAGTTAAATTATTTTACAATTAAATTATTTTTGATTATTTTCCATATCCTTTAAATGGTCAAAGTATTCTTTAGTAATAACACAAAATAATTTTTTGATCACGATCTTGCATTCCTATTGGCCAATTTAACGATCTGCAAAGTAAAAATAGTCAATCAACCAACTTTTAAGGAGGATTTTACGAAAATCACAAAGACAACAACTGAATTTTTATTCACAGATCAATCAGCTGAATCTCAAAGATCATTTTCATATTAGGAAGCAATACCTTCAGAAAAAGTTTTTTATAACAGAAAAAAAATTTCAGCTATGTGTAGATTGTGTTATGTGATAATTTCGAATGTTGATCAAAAACAAAATTCCACTTTGCTTTTGGCATGTGAATGTGAATACATTAAAGAAGAGATCAAAAAAAGATATATGTATATTGTTGCAGAAAGAGATGGAGTAAGTGAATCTTTAGAAAATACAGCATATAAAGCAAATACACAATCACTTTCTAATTTTTGGGATAAAGATAGCATAGTGGAATTTCTCTTTGTCACATTTGTCACATAGTGACGATCTTGAAATTATAAGCATAGTTAAAAATCTATTTTTGTATATTTTTTTGTTGATCAAGCTTATTCAAAACAACAGAGATGATCAACAATT